TGAACGGTCTCAGAAAGGAAGTGCGGCTAACAGCACCGCCCATCAGCAGCAGGAATACGACTTTACTATCAGACACTGCAGCGGGAAATCTCACGGCAACGCAGATGCATTGTCAAGAAGACCTTGTCCTGAAGATTGCAACCATTGTAGTAGGCAAGAGAGTAAGGAGGTGGTATCCATGAGGATGCTCAGGACGGACCACCTCAGCAACGAATGGAAGGACAACCTACGACATGCACAGCAGGAAGATCCAGACATCAAGCCGATTCTGGGATGGATGAAGGCCCGTGCTACCAAGCCTAAGTGGAGGGACGTCTCAGCGATGAGTTCAACCACGAAAAGCTATTGGGCCCAATGGGACAGCTTGCTGATTCAGGATGGAGTCCTGTGCCGTAAATGGGACAATGGTCGAAGAGACAGCTGTCGTTTGCAAATGGTTGTCCCTAAAGTTAAAGTGTCGAATGTTCTACAGTTGTGCCATAATGGTCGTTCAAGAGTCCATCTGGGAGTTAAACGAACTCTACTGAAGGTCCGAGAACAGTTTTACTGGGTCCATTATCGTGACGATGTCGAGGATTGGTGTCGTACATGTACAAGTTGTGCGGCCGTGCGGGGACCTCGGACACGTAGTAGAGGAGCACCGAAATTGTACAATGTTGGTGCACCACGGGATAGGACAGCCCTTGACATTGCGGAGCCGTTACAGAAAGGCGCAAGAGGGACTCCTAAGATCGTCCATGTGGATCGCTTGGCGCGTTATTATGGGACCGATAATGCTCGGGACGAGCATGTCTTAGGAGGGGGCAGTGTTGCATGAATAAGTCAACTAGCGCCATCTAGTGTCAGGAACGAGAGCGAGGGGAGCATTGAGAAAATGACATCACAAATTACTCAACCGACAGCGCCTAGTCGAAACTCGAACGCTCGGTACCTTGCCCGTGTTTACGTGAACATTCTGGATATTTCTTTGCTGATTCAAATATATAGGCGCTGCAAGATGCGATCGAGTGGTAGAGGGAACTCGGCGACACAAGCGAAGCTTCGGAGTGGAATTAAGTGAATTAGTGTGTTTAAATTATTAGTGTTTTAACTTTAATTGTGTAAAGTAAATTAAAGTGTTAATTTAGGTAATTTTATCGGCAATTTTTATTGTCACGAACCTCAAGCTCGTAACAGTACCATAGACCACATACATACCCTTCGGCAAATCGTACAGAAATCCGAAGAGTACAATTTGCCACTTTGCCTGGCGTATGTGGACTATGAGAAAGCCTTTGATTCTGTCGAAATTTAGGCGGTGCTACAGTCCCGTCAGCGGTACCAAGTAGATATCAAGGTGCTGAAGTGTTTGTACAGTAGGGCTGTAATGGCTATCTGAGTACAGAACCAGAGTTCGAAACTTATCCAACTGCAGAGAGGTGTAAGACAGGGTGACGTTATATCCCCGAGACTCTGCACCGCTGCCTTGGAAGTTTTCAAGCTACTGGACGGGAAAGGATACGGTATTAACATCAATGGCGATTACATCACTCACCTTCGATTTTCCGACGATATAGTCCTTAAGGCAGAATCGCTGGAGGACCTAAGCATTATGCTCAATGACCTCAATAGTGTCTCCCAACCAATAGGTCTTAAGATGAACATGGACAAAATAAAGATCATGTTTAATGTCTATGTCACACCTATGCCGGTACTTGTTGTTGTACTTGAGTATGTTTACCTTGGACAAATAGTCCGACTAGGTAAGTCCAACTTCGACCGAGAGGTCAATTGGCGGATTCAACTTGGCTGGGCAGCGTTCGAGAAATTACGATACATCTTCTCGTCAGCTATACCTCAAAACCTGAAAACGAGACTATACAACCAGTGAGTGCTGCCAGTGATGACTTATGGAACTGAGACATGGTCCTTTACTGCTGGCCGTATGAGAACGTTCAAAGAGCAAGCTATGGAGAGGGCTATACTCAGGGTTTATCTGTGTGATATACTTAGAAATGAGGATATCCGCAGTAGAACCAGAGTGAATGACATAGTCCAACGGATTAGTAAGCTGAAGTGGCAATGGGCCGGCCATATAGCTCAAAGAACCTACAACCGTTGGGGAAAAAAGGTTCTCGAGTGGCAGCCTCGTACTGGTAGGCGAAGTTAGGGCGACCCCCTACTAGCTGGAGCAACGACCTGGTAAGACATGCAGGAAGTCGATGGATGCAGGTGGCTCTGGGCAATGCTTTGTGGCATACCTTGGGGGAGGCTTATGTTCAGCAGTGGACTTGTGAAGGGCTGTAATGAATGAAAAAAAAAAATAATATGTCCAGGCAATCACCAACACTAATTCTATTATTGAGAAGACGTAACTTTATATCCTGGAAAAATTTGTCTCTTTTGATGTACATTTCCAATCTTTTTCTAAATTTCTTTGCTACAACAGATGTGTTAGCGAAAAATTTGGCGCATTTATTACAAGCATTTCAAAAAATTTGACTAAATTTGGATCAAGATTTCAATTAATTTTTAGTTGTGTAAAGCACTCCTTTTGATTGAGCTTTAACCTTTCAAACAATAAGTATATATTTTATATAGGTATACCAATGTCTATAAAGTATCTTGGCCCACTCTTTATCATGTTTTGACTGCACACAGCCAAGAGAGAAAATCGCAAGAAAAATAATATACAAATTCTTATTATCCACCCATTCTGGGATGAATAGATGAACATGTGCTTCAGAGTGTCCAGCCTAGAGTTGATAAATGGAAGGGCTTTAGGGTGGATTTAAGTGGAACCCAAGGGCAAACAGTCTGTAGTTTTACTGCCTGTTAGGTTCTTTAAGACTATTTTCAACAGAAATATTTAAAAGAGGTTTCCAGCTTTAAATTCCGAGTCAGAAAAGAAGCTCCAATAAAAAAGTGTGAAAAATTAAATTCTGTGATAATTAACACCTTCAGAATTGTTTTCATTAGGCTAGTGTATGATAGATATAACTTATATACATCATGGACCAGATGGTTACCATTGCTGTCCCTGCTCTATTGACTAAAGCTAACTTTTAAGATATAGTTGTGAAAAACTCATAAATACTTATAACTCACTCATCATAAACATTGAGCAACAAATTAATCAGCAAGTCAACTGTTAAGTCTACATCTCCTGTAAACGAGCCTTCTTTCTCTGCTGCAAAATAAATGTCTGCTAAAACTGCTTCTAGCTCGGCAGTATCCAGTGAGAGACTACTCTCCGAAAGACTTAATTGGTGTCTAGCAAACACTCCTGAGCTGATGCGAAGTGGAGGTACTGAAAAACATATACAAGTATAATTTAAAACATGTTTAACATGAACTTCATTGTTTATTTAAATTAAATTAAGTAAACAAAACATTCTATAATATGGTGAAAACTATTAAACCCATAATCTTAACTAGGATATCCACAGAAGAACAAGAGTAACTGACAAAGCCAAGCAGATCATTAAGCTGAAGTAGCAATGGGCCGGCCATATAGCTTGAAGACAACCAAAGGGAAGAAGGGGTTTTGAGTAGCAGCATTGTACTGGAAAGTATGAGGATATGCAAGAGCACATATAAAAACAAATTCTAAAAAACAATGTGATGCTAACACTGCGTTATGTTCATAAAAATAAAACTGCTCACATTAGTACCTTACCTTTAAGATGTCTTTGTAGTGCGAAAACTTTAAACGCTATACGATAAGTGCTGTATTTAACTTCATTATATTCCTCCGAACATTTCAATAATATACGAAAATGAGGATGGTCATAATCTTGTTTACCATTTGTTTCACTGGAAAAAGTATTTATTTATTACAATAATAATCATAAACATTTCAGTGTTTATGATTAAGGTAAAGTGAAAGTTATACATCTAATACCAACTCAATGTAACACGGATATCCAGATTCATTCTCAATCTTCTTCCAACTATTTGAAGCCATGACAAACAATTTTCATTATGATTTTATATTCAATTTGAAATTTAAAAGATTTCAAGAATATTTCAAAAAATAAAAATAGAAATTTAACCGTCACAATCACATAAACTCATTTGAAAAATGACATTCCTCTAGTTTGCATGTAAATCACAGAACAACCCCAAAGTGCAAATCAAGAGAGCTGGTCACCAATAATAAGTTTCAAATTATTTTAGTTTAAGCTTGGTAGCATAGAAGCCAATGAAAAAAGTTAATAAACTTTTTTGATTGGTTTAAATATTGTAGCATAGACAATATTAACATTTGATACTGTTGTTGTTGTTTTATTATTCGCTCGACAGAGCAGGCAAAGGGACTACCCCATACAGCCTTGCCTTTTTTTAATTAGAATATATCGCACTGCTAGATTAAAACTGTATCAACTCAAAAATCGCGCCTTTTGAGATAACCCGATTTTCAAGTCTCTGATTCGATTATCTATACGGCTATAAAACTGTAGTAACTGTATTTTCACGCACGCCTCGTAGATATCGCTAGAAGTCGTTCGTGAATGGCGCCGCCCCATGCACCACCAACTAAACCGTGGCATTGGCAGTTACGCCGTGACTAGCAATCAAAGAGCACGTTTCTAAAGTGTAATATTTTGTGTTAATACAGTTTTTGTGATTAGATTTGAAAAAAATCAAGTATTAATTAGAGTTGTTGCAGTTTTAATGGTGTCATCGGAGTTGAAGGAAGAGCTTTTTTGAGTTATTTTGTGTTATGACAGTTTTGATAGCCAAGATTAGTAATATTTTTGAATTAATTTGTTTTACTATAGTTTTAACGCCTTTTTTAATTTCGATTTGTATCGGTTTTAATGGTGTATTATTAAAACATTATTATACACTTAATTTCTTGACATAAATACTTGTTTACCATTAACACATGATAAAAATTGATAATTTTGTATTTATTGTTAATTATTTTACAATAATTATAAGTTATGCCGTTAGTAGATTGTTTTTTTAGTTAATTCACTTTTGATGTCTGATGGAATTTTTATTTCAGTAAGATGATGAGCCGAGGACGTTTATTTGTGGATATGGCAGTACGTAGCAATAAGGAAAACTTACCTGCTAACATAGAATCTCATAATGATCAAATCAAACAAAATAGTCCAGCAAATGAAACGGTTAAAGACAATTTACTCAATTCTATATCAGGCAGTTCAGATACTACAGTTCAGTCTTCTATGCCTGAAGAGATAACTTCTTCAATCTCTAATAAAATCAGCAATCCCATCGATGTGGCTATCCCAAGTACTTCCAAATCTGCTGAAATTAAACAAAAATAAATAAATTATTACATTTTGCCCATACACAGTGACCAGAGTGACATCGATGATTCCGATGCTGATCCACATTTTAATATATCTCCAAATAGAACGACTTTACCGAACAAGTCCGATTCTTCTTCTTCTTCCAGTAGCAGCAGTAGTTAATCTTCTTCTAGCTCCGATAGTTCATCTGAGACGGACCAAAATAACGTTATTGTAGCTGTAGAAATAAAAGGCAAGAAAAGAACAAGGAAACCCGAAAAAATGGATAGTAAATGTCGCAAAAATACTGAGAAATTCTGCTAAGCCTTATGTGTCCATGTCGAAACTAACGAAACAAGTGTCAGGGAAAGAAGTTGGCCCATCTTGTGGAGAAAACTGTCGCCTTAAATGCAGTTCAAAAATAAATGAAGCTACAAGACAAACGCTATTTAATAATTATTGGGGTTCTGAATGTATAGATACTCAAATACGCAAAAATTTCGTGCTCTTAATACAGCGTTCTACTTTGATGTAGAAGGCTCGCGTATTCGAGTATGTAAAATTTTTTTAAAGCAATACTAGATTTAAATGACAGACCAATAAAAACAGCGTTACCAAATAAATCTGACTCTGGCTTTGTAGAAGGAGAATTGAGGGGTAAGCATGGTAAGCATCCAACAATTGATCCCGACATTAGAGAAAGTGTGAAAAATTTTATCAACAGTATACCACGTATTGAATCGCATTACCTTCGAGCGCAAACTTCACTTGAATACATACAAAGTGATAAATGTCTAGCTGATTTGTATAGAGACTATAAATAAATTCGTCAAAGAGACAACTTAACAATTGCTACAGCGTCAACATTTAGTCGGATCTTTAATACAGAGTTCAATATCTCATTCTTCACACCGAAAAAGGATCTTTGCGATCTATGTGAAAGCTACAGTAATTCAGATGAAAATGGCAAGCAGAAACTACAAGAAAACTATGAACAACATCTTAAAGAAAAAGAATTAGTAAGGATAGAAAAGGATAATGATAAAAAAAGAACTGATGTTAAAGTAGCTGTATATGATCTGCAAGCAGTAATGCAAGTGCCTAAAGGACAGGTATCCTTATTTTTTTATAAATCTAGGATAAACTGTTTTTATTTCACGGTCAGTGATTTAAAAGCAAAAAATGTAATTTGTTATTTCTGGGATGAGACAGAGGGAAAACGAGGTTCTGCAGAAATTGGAAGCTGTGTTATTAACTACATTGAAACACTGATAGCTGAAAATGCAGGAAAAGATTTGAATGTTATATTCTATTCTGATAATTGCTGTGGCCAGCAGAAGAATAAATATTTACTGCCTGCCTACGCCTTTGCTGTTTTTAAGATGGGAATAAAGTCCATTACACATAAGTTTTTAATACGAGGTCACTCTCAAAATGAGGGTGATAATGTTCATAGTATGTTAGAAAAACAAATAAAAAGACATATTAAATCAGGCCCAATTTATATACCAAATCAATATTCAACACTAATTCGAACTGCAAAAAAGACTGGTCTGTTTTATAAAGTTCAAGAAATGACACATGAACAATTTTATGATCTGAAATGTCTACAAGAAGAATGGGGTACAAATTTTACATCAAACGAAGATAAAGAACAGGTAAAATGGCATGAAATAAAAACACTTCGAGTAGAAAGAGAAAGTCCTGGCATGTTTTTTTATAAAACATCCTATGCTAACCTAAACTTTAAAAAAGTTTTAGTGCAAAAGAAAAAAACCAGACAAACTCAAGAATTTTCTTCTGGTTTGATGAAAGCTTATACGTCTAAAATTCTGTTATCTGAAGCTAAAACCAAAGATATTAAAGAACTTATTGAGAAAAACGTGATTCCAAATAATTATTATGACAGTTATTACAAAAATGTGTGGAATTTATAAGCACATTGTTGCAAAGTCTGAATAATATTAGTACTTAACCGATTCAGTAAGTAGGTATTAAAAATTATTTTGTGATTTATAATTCATAAGCAAAGGTTTTTTTTATTATGATTGAAATATTTCGTTAAGTTGTTTTAAAAAAGATTACAAAAATGTGTGGAATTTATAAGCACATTGTTGCAAAGTCTACTTAATATTAGTACCTAACCGATTAAGTAAGTAGGTATTAAAAATTATTTTGTGATTTATAATTCATAAGCAAAGGTTTTTATTTATATTATTGGAATAGTTCATTAAGTTAAAACAAGTCAAATAGAAGAACCTACGTCGAGAACTGTTAGTTAGTACCTTCATTTATTACTTTTTTCCTTTTTTGTAACATGTATGAAGATTTCATTTTTAGTACGTGCAATACAATACTATATTTCACCAAATAATGTTTTATTTATTTGTTTTAATGTCTTGGTTTCATAAATTAAAGAGCTGAATGCAGTTTATCTAAATCACAACTCAAAAGCGTCACAACTCAAAATTTTCTGTACAAAACGGATTCAAGTCAAAATGCTCAATTTTTTTTTAATTCTTGACAAACCAAAACTGTTGTAAGTCAAAATTCCTGATATTTCAGCTCACTATGCAAAACAATGTATGTGGCCTATGTCACAGAATATTAAAACATCTTATCTTATATAATCTTTTTGTGGAAATTCAATATCTTAAGTAAGTTACCACATATCAGTTTTTCTTGAATTGTGAAAAAGTGGTTTTTTGAGTTAAAACAGTTTTAATCTAGCAGTGCGATATAGCGTAGCAGGGGGATAAGTCGCTCGCGTCCGTAGGCTTTGACCACCTGTTCCTAGGCCCACCCTACACGTGTCCCCCGGGTGGTGCTAAATGAGCGACAAGCCGATACCACAGACTCGGCTCCACGCTGTGGTAGCGGCGTTAAATATACCACCCCATTTCGCACCATCAGGAATCAAATTAAAGAAATGGCCCCGAGTTCCCGGCGCCCCTTAATGGGGCAGGGGTGCGAAGAATCTCCGGGAGGAAAACCGGCGACGAGGTTCGCCACCCGTCACGTTCTGTCTCTCGGAGAGGCAAAAAGTGGATTGCAGAGACCCGTCTGGCTACGTTGAATGTATGTGGGGCAATGAATGATAAAATGGATGAAGTATGCGATACGATGTATGATAGAGGAATAGATGTGTTATACGTAAATGAGACGAAAAGGAAGGGGAAGGATGTCACTACACATGGCATGTATACCGCATACTGGTCTGGTGTAGACGAGATCGAGCGGGCATGCCAGGGAGTAGATATCATCCTTTCAGAAAGAATGGGCCAATGTGTGAAAGAGTATGAATGTGTAAGCCCAAGACTGCTATGGATACGAATGAAAGTGGGCTTAAAGAAGTTGTTTGTGTTAGGAGTCTACGCCCCAGACATGTCTAAGCCCACTTATATCCGAGAGCAGTTTTGGGAAATGGTAAGGATGGTGTTAATAAAGTGTAAGGGAAATGAAAATATTATTATGCTAGGAGATTTTAATGGAAGGGTTGGGGTCAGGAGGCTTGGTTATGAAAGGATATTGGGAACGTTTGGTGATGAAAGTATAAATGAGAATGGTGAAAGTCTCCTCACTGTAGGTATGGAAAAGAATATTTTTGTGACGAACACTTGCTTTCGCCACAAGAGGATTCACATGTATACTTGGGAAAGAGGTGACGATAGAAGCATGATAGATTTCATAATTGTGGATGAAAGATTGAGGGGCGCAGTGGTAGATACGAGAGTTTACCGGGGTTCTAACGTAGGAACGGATCATTATTTAGTTTTATGCCGAATTAATGGTCTATTCAGGCGTTGGCGCCATCGATCGTCTGTGTCTACCACTGCGTTACAGCGTATTAGAACAGAAAGGTTACAAGATGAAAGTGATAAAAACAAGTTCAAATGTAGAATGAAAGAAAAAATAAGTGGTTTGGATGAATTATGTATGAAGGAGTTAGACTTGGAGAACATATTATGGCAAAATGTAAAGAAAAGTTTAGTGGATGCAGCTACCGAAGTATGTGGTGTTAGTAAGAGAAAGAATGAAAGGAAAAATAATACGTTATGGTGGGATGATGAGATACGTATGGAAGTTGAAGCAAAGAAGAGAGCATGGCTAGATTTACTAGCAACAAAGGCTGCTAATTCTAGTGGTACTAGTGGTGATATTGAAAGAAAAAAGGCAGTCTTTAGACATCTTAATAAGAGAGTAAAAGAAGTAGTTGAAAGAAAAAAGCAAGAAAGAACGGATAAGAATGATAGAAGAATATCGGAGAACTTCCAGGCAAATATTAAAATGTTCTGGAAACTTGTAAGAACTGCCAGGGGACATTCAAAACAGCCTATGATTAATGCTATAAGAGACGAGAATGGCTATATTCTGAATGATGAAGTTTTGAGTTTAAAGAGATGGAAGGAATATTTTGAAAGCGTGTTTATGAGTGAGGAGACAACGTGTGTACTAAGTGAAGTAGAAACACCGAAAGAAGAAGAAAGAGGTAGCGAGATAAGTATAGATGAAATAATGAAAGCAATGAAAAGCATGAAAGCAGGTAAGGCTGCCGGATATGATAGAGTTTCACTCTAAATGCTAAGGGCTGGAGAGGAAGTGGTGGCAGGCCTGCTGCACACCTTGTGTAATTTATGCTGGGAACTGAAGCGGGTACCGGTAGACTGGTGCAAAACCGTGATAGTCCCAGTATATAAGGGAAGAGGGTCGCAGCAGGACTGTAAAAACTACCGTGGCATCAGCCTTCTTAGCATTGTGGGAAAACTGTATGCTAAGGTACTGATTGAAAGGGTCATGAAAGAAACTGATGGAAAAATTTGGGAAGTGCAAGCGGGATTTAGAAAGGGAATGGGATGTACAGATCAAGTCTTTTCCATGCGCATGATCGCGGAGAATTTTCTGGCCAAAAACCAAAAGGTTTTTTGTGCGTTCATGGACTTGGAAAAGGCCTATGACAGAGTGGATAGGGATTTGCTATGGCAAACACTGAACTCATTTGTGTTGAGCGCTGGCTTGATACAGGCATTGGAGTCTCTTTATAGGGACTCTAGTGCTTGTGTTAGGATCAACGGGGTCTACTCGGACTGGTTTGACATCCATAAAGGTGTCTGACAGGGCTGTGTGGCTTCCCCGTGGCTGTTCAACTTATTTATGGACAGTTGTTTGCAAAATTTGAAAGTTGAAGAATGCGGATTAAGAATGGGTGAGTTAACCATCAAATGCCTTTGATGATCAAGTTATTCTTGCATCGTCGGCGGCCGAGTTGCAAATGATGGTTACATTAATGAACGGATCATTAAAAGAAAGGGGTATGAAAGTGAACGCAAGTAAGACGAAGGTTATGGTTTTTGAAAGAGAAGAAAGTAAAACGATTTGTGAAATAAGAATAGAAGGGGAGTTGATCGAGCAAGTAGATGAGTTTTTATATTTGGGCTGCGTATTTAGCAGGGATGGTAGATATGATAAGGATATAGAACGACGAGTGAATGCGGGAAATAGAGTAAATGGGGCCTTGCACTCTATTGTGAAGAGTCAAAATGTGTCGAAAAAGGCACGTATGGCAATTCACAATGCTGTGTTGGTCCCTACTTTAACGTATGGTAATGAAAGTTGGGTGTGGCAGAAGAAGCACGAGAGTAGAATAAACGCAGAAGTAGAAATGCGGTCGTTAAGGATTATTTTAGGGCTGAATCTGAATGACAGGGTAAGAAATTGTGTAATAAGAGAAGAGTATGGTTTGCAAGATGATGTTGTGACCGGGATTAAGAAAGGAATGCTTCGGTGGTTTGGTCATGTGGAAAGAATGAATGAGGAAAGAGTGACAAAGAAAATTTATGGTGCAGAAGTGAATGGCAGAGTCGGATAGGGACGTCCTAGGCGAAAATTTATCGATCAAATTGGCGATTTATTGAAAACGGGCCAAATTAGGAGTACCCTTAACCGACGAGCATGTATGCGTAGGTGTATGGATGTGAAGGAGGCAAGAGAGGTGTGTCAGGATGGTGCCAAATGGAAGTCTGTAGTCTCTGCCTACCCCTTTGGGTGTCAGGCGTGAGTGTTTATATGCGATATATAATTTTGAAAATTAAAAGGCCGGAACCAAGTCTTATTTTTCTTCTTTCCATCTCTTCAAAATTCATAAAGGCCGAAGCCAAGTCTTATTTTCCTTAATTCTCCACATTTTCAAAAAACACAAAGGCTAAAGCCAAGTCTTCTTTATATTATAATCTTTATAAGTTTCAATCCATATAGATTTATCAGTCCAGTTTCAAGGCTCCCGCGCTTTTTTTTCTTTTCTTCACAATATGCTGATGCGTCACATTGCGAAGTCCTTGGGGGATTTTGACGACAGCTCAACCCAGCGGACAGTTGATGACGACAGCCACTCAAGTTCATTAGGCGCCTAAGCGATCAAAATAACTTGAGGTTTATATCGACATCAAATCACTTGTTTCGTCGTTTTCTCTAATAGTTCACACGCGCAGACAATTAATTCACAAAATCACATCACTTTACCGAATTAAAATCCTCTTCAAACCAATATTCAAGCGACAAAATAGGAGCGACAGTCCGTCGTCGGCCAAGTACCCGCCAAAAAAAACCGACACATTGATACACATTGACATCGATTGACATGGAGGTTTGACATCGATATAAGTACAGCTTTTTTTGGGTCACGGACTAGTACGATTATACTTTCGCCAGTGTCAATTAACAAGAAATTATCCTCAAAATTATATTTTGTAAAACTTCACAATATGATAGCTCGTTATATTCAAAAATCTTTGGGGTGATATTGACGACAGCTTAAGTATGTGAACAGTTGATAGCGACGGTATGTTAAGTTCTGAATGTCTTGAAAGGAAAATAAATTGACGTTTATATCAAAATCGGAGCCCTCATTTCGTCGTTTCCGATAACAATTCTTGCCCAAATAAGCCACACTGTGCCTATGAAGCGAACTGCCTGGATGATTATGTTTCAGCCTATGATCAACACTTTATGGCTGCAGCACAATAGGTTAGCTCGACTTAGGAAGGACTATTTAAGTGCTACGGATTCTAAGAGTATACTCAATCGTGTTGCTGCTAGACTCATGCACAAATACAAAGGTCACGGTTCTGCTGTGTCACAGGTTTTGGCCTTCTTAAACATGCCCAAAATCTAGCTTCACATCCAAAGAACGAAGTAGTAGGTATCCTTGTCATTCATAACTTACCAATGATTGCTAAACTGGCAGCTGTAGCTAAGGCACGTGGCAATATGTTTTAGGTACTTCAAGAACATGCACCCGAGACGTCTGGTGGGTTGTTAATTTTTCTCCTTCGTGAACAAGCTGTTGCATATTGCAAATAAATTGAGATGTAAAAAGGCTATCATGCTTGGATCATTGAAATAATGGAGAAAGATAACTGTACTGCACGTGTTTAAGTGTACCAATGAATGCTTCCGAAGCCACGACGAGTAGCCCAATGGAATACTTTTAAGTCTTAAAAGTATTTCGGCTCCGCATCTGTTCGACTTACTTGCAAACAAGTACTTGGTACAAAAAACTGAAAAAAGAAACAAAGCAGTGTTTTTCGTGGTTTACAGGACAAAATAGTTTGAAAGTTGAAACTCCAGATAATAGCCCCAGATATAAAGAATAAAAATTCGCTGGATGGCAAATTGTCGCCAAAATCAACTGCTTTTTTCAGTTACGAATACTTTAATAAATATTGTAGGTAAATTGTCATTTTCTTATAAATTACTTAGGTACATATATTTTACATAGATAATATAATAATTCCTCTTGGTTTAAATTGGAACGTTAATATTTATAAGTGTGTTTTCTATGACCATTTTAAAATTAATTTAGCAAATAGCCAATAGCGAGTAGAATAACTTTGTTTATATCTGAAATCAGCCAATGATTCTTTAGTATTTGATAGTAATTTTGACATCGGCTTCCTCCTGGTAAAGGAGACGCCATTTTGCAAGCGTCACTTGGCGGCGTGTCCGGTTTCGGCATTTACTAGACTTACCTTCACAGAAATTATATTATTGTTTTGGTTTTGTAGAATATGTCGTATCAGTCTAGTGTAGCTCAAGATACTTTGGCTGCAGCTCAGTTAGAAATGGCCGGCAACCCTAATGCTCTGGCCCTTCGTCGGCCATTCGACCCAGTGGCTCATGACTTAGAAGCGAGTTTTCGATTAACAAGATTTGCAGATCTTAAAGGAAGAAGCTGCAAAGTACCTCAAGATGTGCTCGGTAAACTTGTGGAATCGCTCCAACAGGATTATTCTCAACAAGAACAAGACCAATTTATGCATGTGGCGATCCCGCGCATCGGTATAGGTTTGGATTGCTCAGTAACACCACTTCGACATGGTGGATTGTGCTTGGTGCAAACAACCGACTTCTTTTATCCTCTGGTTGATGACCCGTATATGATGGGGAAAATTGCCTGTGCCAATGTTTTGAGTGATCTATACGCTATGGGTGTTACAGAGTGTGACAATATGCTGATGCTACTCGGTGTATCTACCAAAATGACGGAAAAAGAACGTGACGTTGTCATTCCCCTTATCATGCGCGGTTTCAAAGATTCAGCGTTAGAAGCCGGGACTTCAGTTACTGGCGGGCAAACTGTAATCAATCCGTGGTGCACGATTGGTGGGGTTGCTACTACCATCTGTCAGCCAAATGAATATATTGTTCCGGATAATGCTGTTATGGGTGATGTTTTGGTACTAACGAAGCCTCTTGGTACTCAGGTGGCTGTAAATGCACATCAGTGGCTTGATCAACCTGAACGCTGGAATAGAATCAAACTTGTGGTTTCTGAAGAGGATGTACGAAAAGCATATCACCGTGCTATGGATTCTATGAGTAGACTCAATCGTATTGCTGCTAGACTCATGCACAAATACAATGCTCACGGTTCCACTGATGTCACAGGTTTCGGCCTACTTGGCCATGCCCAAAATCTAGCTTCACATCAAAAGAACGAAGTATCCTTTGTTATTCATAACTTACCAGTGATTGCTAAGATGGCAGCTGTGGCTAAGGCATGTGGCAATATGTTCCAACTACTTCAAGGACATGCACCCGAGACGTCTGGTGGGTTATTGATTTGTCTCCCTCGTGAACAAGCTGCTGCATATTGCAAAGACATTGAGAAGCAAGAAGGCTATCAGGCTTGGATCATTGGAATTGTGGAGAAGGGTAACCGTACTGCCCGCATTATTGACAAACCCCGAGTCATTGAAGTTCCAGCTAAAGATTAGAATATGATTTTGAACATTTTAAATAACTTGTTTCTTATATGATTTTAAGCTGGTTTAGAATATAATATTGTTTTGGAAAATTACTATAAAATGATGTCTGACTTAGTGAATTACAGCATTTCTAATACATTAAAGCATATTTTGATTTATAGTTTCTTGTTTTAAAGAACTACCAGCTGACTGGATTATAAACTTAATAATTACAATTAACATCATCATGAACTTTATTAGTGACTGTTTTAATGTTATATAAATAAAGTATCATTTAAATTTAAGACAATTCCATTAGGTACCCATTTAAACCTAAAATATTATTTGCAGCTTGTGAAATGGTTCTGCAAATTATTAAAATAAGTATATTTAGAATAAAATTATTTTTCAGTCAAGAATGGAGTTTTATTTAAACAAATGTGTCAATAAGAATATAAACAAAAAATATTTATGTATAGGGTGTCTATGTCAAATCAACACACTGATTCAGATTTGATGTCTCAGATTTTTATGATTTTTTATGCAGCAATATATCACACAACATACGAAAAAATTCCAAATATCAGTTATGTAGCACAATTATTTTTGAAGTTATTAATTTTTAAACTTACTGACAAGCAATGATGATATAAACCTGGGAGTGGTCTCATTTTAAAGCTATTGAATGAGCTTTAATATGACATGCCACAAGATGGGATTACAATTGTTAAAAACTGAAAATTTTAAATATTTTATTTTGTAAAAAGTGATAATTTTAAAATATCAAATATAGTTTATCTTAATACATACAGCAAAATTCTATCATGGGATCAAGAGATACAGGGCTTCAGAAACAGAAATACATTTGTTTTGTAAATAAGGTAGCAAATTAGTAAAATTTAATTTTTTAATTACAAATTTTACTATGCAGTGTGCAGGACACTATTAAAATAATAAAATGCGATGATTACTTTATAGTACCATGTTTGGAAACCTCTCTTCAAAAGAAAACTGAAGCTGATTGGTCTACAAGTAGAGGGAAATCCCCTTTTACTCAGATAAAAAGGGGACTTCTCTCCGGGGAAAATCCCCTTTCACAAGGCGGGCGCGGACACTGGATTCCTTTTGCAGATGTGATATGCAAAGTGAACCCTGACACACAGACTGGCCGAACATACGGTGTAACAGACAGTAAAGTTAACATGTGTGGATATTTTCCAACAATTGAAGTCTCGAATTAATTAATTTGTTATATTGAAGACATATGAAAGACCGAGGTAGACTATAATAATATTTTAACCCTTTAAATAATTAATTAATTTGTTTTACTGGATTTAATTAATTTGTTAACCTTTAACTTTACCCATAATATTGGTGTCCATGTGACCTTTCTGCTTCTGTTAAAGTAATGCCCACTGCTTGTTTCATTGTAATGTTTGATTCATTCAATGAACTATTCAAAATTTTCCTGCATCCATCGACTTCTTGTATGTCTTGCCAGGTCGTCACTCCATCAAGTGGGGGGTCGCCCTATACTACGCCTACCGGCACGAGGCTGATACTCGAGAAACTTTCTTCCCCATCGGTTATCGGTTCTTCGAGCTATATGGCCGGCCCATTGCCACTTCAGCTTACTAATCCGTTAGGTTATGTCGGTCACTCTAGTTCTACTGCGGATATGCTAATTTCTGTGTTTATCACGCAGGGAAACTCCGAGCATAGCCCTCTCCATAGCTTGCTGAGCGATCTTGAGCATCCTCATACGGCCGTGATACGTAATACAAGCAATTTACGCTTACCACGAGTGGTTAAGGGGAATATTAGTAATGTTTATAGCATTGTTAATATTCTTTTTAAATTAAAAAAAAAAAACAACTACTGACATAGGTGTGACATGGAAATTAAACATGATCTTTGTTTTGTCCATGTTCATCATAAGACCTATCCGTTGGAAGACACCATTGAGGTCATTGAGCATAGTGCTTAGGTCCTCCAGCGATTCTGCCATAAGGACTATACCGTCGGCAAATCGAAGGTGAGTACTTGCCATTGATGTTAATACCGTATCCTTTCCAGTCCAGTAGCTTGAAAACGTCTTTCAATGCAGCTGCGAAGAGTTTCGGGGATATAACGTCACCCTGTCTTACACCTCTCTGCAGCTGGATAGGTTTCAAACTTTGGTTCTGTACTCGGATAGCCATCGTAGCCCTACTGTACAAACACTTCAGCACTTCGATATACCGACAGTCCACCTGGCACAGCTGAAGGGACTGTAGCATCGCCCAAATTTCGATGGAATCAAAGGCTTACTCATAGTCCACATACGCCAGGCAAAGTGGCAGATTGTACTCTTCGGTCTTCTGTACAATGTGCCGCGGGGTATGTACGTGGTCTATGGTACTGAAGACTTTTCGGAAACCGGCTTGTTCAGAAAGCTGGAAGTCGTCGAGTCTGCGTGCGAGACGATTCGTAATAACCCTAGAAAACAGTACGTAGACGCGGCTCAGAAGGGAAATCGGTCTAGTTCTTCAAGGGAGCGTTGTCGCCTTTCTTAAATACAAGGCCACCGCACTTCTGCTCCACGCCTCCGGAGTAGTGCCACTGGAACTGCAACACTACCATTAATTTATTAATAGGCTCGTAGTCGGAGTATGCAGTCGTAGACGGTGACCTTGATGCTCCATTCTGCAAGGCAACTGATGATCCAATTGCAGAATTTCGCGGGAAGCCCATTAGAAGGAAGCTTCTAAAGAAGTGATTTTTACCAAAGCCCATCGAAGGCTTTCGCTATGTCTAAAGTAACGACCAAGGCCTCCTTCTTGGAGTCTACTGCTTCCGCTCATCTATGTGTCAAGTAAATTAGAAGATTAGAACTACAACCAAAGCGCACACACCGCATTGGCGGTCACTAATCAGCTGGTGGTCCTCAAGGTACCTTATGGGTTGGCAGTTTATAATGAATTCTCGACATGCCAACCGATTAGTTTTCAGCACCGATTACTTAGGAATTTAAAAAAACCGGTTTTCTTGGGTTTTTTATAATCCATATGACAATGAAAAAATTGAGTTTTTTTTAAATATTTATTCAATAAAAAAACTAATTCTTATTTTTGATTACCTAATTTGGTAGATAAAACAAAGTTAATCTTCTGCATCACCTAGCAACTTGTTCCTTGATGACAGGAAATATCCGCAAGTTGAAAACATTCGTTTCGAAGGTACAGAAGCAGCGACTTCTTCCGACAGCGGGAATTGACAGATATTGTAAAGCCATGTTATTAAGCGACACCAAAAATGTTTATATTCCAGTAAGTGCCAACGAATTCTGTGTTTGCTTTTCGCCCAGGCTCAAGCTCGGTTTCCATATTCATGCGCAGTATGTTTACTGAATGGAATCCATTCCATTCCATCCAAATTTACAAAGAACATAACAGAGAGCAGATTACCTACATGTACAATTTGGCGGCCTTATCGCTACATAGCGATCTCTTCCAGGCAACCAAGGGTGTAAAGAAAGGAATAAAACAGTGAATCCTAGGTAGGTGGTGCAATACAAATCTACCTAATATAATATCAATATATGCAATAAAATAACATATAACTAACTAATACATTATAAAATATGATACACATATACAAACGTATATACATACACACGCACACACATACACACACACACACACACATAACGCTTGCCCGCAAGAATACTGTATTAACTCTAAAAACATACTTTTTCAGGAGAAGCGATTAAAGTTTTTAACTAAAAATATTGTGGTATATCCATAAGATAAACAGATTGTTTTTTATTATTAATATGTATTAGTATGTACTCTATAATTATCTTTAAAGACATTACTCTATTTACCATTATTTATTAAATTATTTACACCTTTTACCACTTGTGACTGTATTCTTTTGAATTTTACTTTTGTTCAAGATGTTTAGTTTAAAACAAAAACAGTATTTATATATTTTTAAATGCGATTAAAGTGATGAAAAAACAAAATAATGAAATCAATTCTCACTTATTTACTACAAAAAGACCTTAGCATCAATCTTGACTTATAAAAATCTAATGAATAACAATCTTAAGGTATTATTCTAGTCTATATCTAAATTCTAGTCTTTGTATCAAAACAAAAATCACAAGGTAGTCAAGATTACGGGAACGTAAAATGATTTTTTAAAAACTATTTAAAATCTATTTTATTTCTTAATTCAATTATAATTATAACTACTTAATTAATATGTCTTGACAGAAGTCGATGTCAGAACGAAGTGGCCGCTCCCATGAGCTCTGTCTGATATCTCATGCAACCAAAAGCGCTGACTCTACAGTTACTGGATACTGTCTAATGCTTATGCAGCCCCTTCTAAATACGAACCGTAACAACCCTATGGTCTTGTGGTTGCATAACTAGGTACTTATTGAACTAGTCAGTATTATTATTTAACAAAGTAAAAACAAAAATAAAAATCTCAAAAATGTTAAAAGTTAGTATTACTTATGTTAACTTAATAGGAACTTTACGCTTTGCAAGCAAAGTGTAACCTGGTAAATATTTGAAGAACAACAACTTTTTGAAAAAACATACTAATTATGAAATTAATAGTTGAGAAAAAAAACACAGTTAATTACTAATTACACAAGAAAAAAATTCGAATGAAAGCAGAAAAAAGTCCTCATAGTACATACTTAAGAATATTATTAAAAATAATAAGTGATACCTTATTGAATAAGTGAAACCATGACTACTATGAGGATTTGTATTAAATATATAAAAGTTACTTATAAATTTTGATAAAAATCTTCAAAGTATTTAGGAATTATGTTTTTTTAACTAATTTCAACAGCCCCTGTTTCTTTTTATTTGTAATTTTAATCCTCTCATATTCAATAAGCTGCAGGTAAATACGGTGACATCAAGTCGTTTTGAGTGCTGCGAGTGGACCCTGCTACTTTTATTTGCTTATAGGAGGTGTCAGAGTAAGATGTTTTGTAAAAAAAAAGATCAAGGTTCTGATTTAGA